TTCTGAAGTTCATGATGTCATAGTGATAAGTCAGTTATAGATATGTTCATTCTGAAGTTCATGATGTCATAGTGATAAGTCAGTTATAGATATGTTCATTCTGAAGTTCATGATGTCATAGTGATAAGTCAGTTATAGATATGTTCATTCTGAAGTTCATGATGTCATAGTGATAAGTCAGTTATTGGCATTATTGTAAAGAAGAAATTGATACGTCTAAATGAAAACTTTTTTCTTGTTTATAAGAAACAATATGTAAATTATCATCAATGCAGACTAGACTGTCGCTGTTTCCATTCGTATGAAACGAAGGCTGCCATTCCTAAAGGGTAGTTCACAAGACTGAGTCGCATATGTTCTGAGGACCAAGACCTTCTATCCAAAACCCTGAGATGGCAGGATTTCTCCAACAACGTAACTACCAGGCCAATGTCATATAACAGCCATACCTGATGCCACCTCACCTAAGGACAGAAGTCAACATGATAGAACCTCTTTGCTTTTAACATACCATCCCCTCTATAGATTAGCAGCCAATATCATAAAAAAAAAGAAAATTACTGATGACTGACTCCACCACTGCCAAAATGTTTACTACACCTCCTATAGTTTCGTGTAGAAGTAATTCCAACTTCAATGACTACTCGTGTGCACGAAACTATAGAGCAACAATGCCTCTGTTGTTGGAACTCATTGCTGTTTCAGAAAAACATTTTATACTTAACCATACATTTCAAACAACACCACAGTTACACTTTCTACATCAGGGGACATTACACCTGCATGTCAGAATGTGTCATTTACTGCATTCAGTGTAGCAGATGTCACAAATTATATACTGGAGAAGCAGCCTGCAGACTGGGTGGTCATTTTCATGAACACCTTAGATCTGTACAAGAAGGCTCTGCTTTACTTCTCCTGACCACAATAATACCTCCGACATGATAGTCACGGGACACGAGAAGCTCACTGCTCAACAAGTTAACACGAGGAAACTGTGAACACTGTTTTATCTTCCAACTGAACACCAAGTCTGCATATGGTATAAACAAAAGATTTACTTTCAAACAATTCTAAAACTTCGTGAACCCTTTCTCTATTTTCATTCCCTTAAACCTTTTCTTTAGATGCATTTTCTTTAATTCTTACTCCCGATTGAATCTTTTTTTCAACCTAACCTATGTGAAAATCTTGTCCTTCCCATAGTTACTTCCCTGAATTGTTATTTTATTTTACAAGGATATTATTTTGTAAAGTTATTTCTAAATTCAACTCTAGTTGTTCTAATTACCATTTTTTCCATATTTATGATATTTTGATACTGTTTACCTAATCAGTTCGATAATGATTTTATCAGTATTTTTGTCACCATGCTACATGTTGAATGTGTGCAATTAGAACCTTTTTGTTATTTTTTAACAATTACTTCTGAGTCTAATTCCATTGTAATACGGTGCTTACTGCCTGATGAATGGCGTCTGCTTAAAAAATTGCACAATATAAACTAGAAAAAGTTTTCTTTTAGATGTATCAATTTGTTCTTTATTATCATTTATCCAAATTTGTCTTCTCGCATCTTGTGGAACAAAGAGTATTGGTATGATCATTCTGACGTTCCTGATGTTATAGTCATTCTGACGTTCATGAAGTTATAGTGATTGGTCAGTTATGAGCATGATCATTCTGAAGTTCATGAGGTTATAGTGAATGGTTAGTTATAAGTGTGATCATTCTGACATTCATGATGTTATAGTGAATGGTTAGTTATAAGTATGATCATTCTGACATCATGATGTTATAGTCATTCTGAAGTTCATGAGGTTATAGCGAATGGTTAGTTATAAGTATGATCATTCTGACATTCATGAGGTTGTGGTGAATGGTTAGTTATAAGTATGATCATTGTGACGTTCATGAGGTTAGTCATTCTGACATCATGATGTTAGAGTGAATGGTCAGTTATAAGTATTTTCATTCGGATGTCATGATGTTATAGTCATTCTGACATCATGAGGTTATAGTGAATGGTTAGTTATAAGTATGATCATTGTGACGTTCATGAGGTTAGTCATTCTGACATCATGATGTTATAGTGAATGGCCAGTTATAAGTATGATCATTCTGACATCATGATTTTATAGTGAATGGCCAGTTATAAGTATGATCATTCTGACGTTCATGATGTTATAGTGAATGGCCAGTTATAAGTATGATCATTCGGATGTCATGATGTTATAGTGAATGGTCAGTTATAAGTATGATCATTCTGACGTTCATGATGTTATAGTGAATGGCCAGTTATAAGTATGATCATTCGGATGTCATGATGTTATAGTGAATGGTCAGTTATAAGTATGATCATTCTGACGTTCATGATGTTATAGTGAATGGTCAGTTATAAGTATTATCATTCTGATGTCATGATGTTATAGTGAATGGCCAGTTATAAGTATGATCATTCGGATGTCATGATGTTATAGTGAATAATCAGTTATAAGTATGATCATTCTGACAACATGATGTTATAGTGAATGGTCAGTCATAAGTATGATCATTCTGACGTTAATGATGTTATAGTAAATAATCAGTTATAAGTATGATCATTCGGATGTCATGATGTTATAGTGAATGGTCAGTTATAAGTATTTTCATTCTGACGTTCATGAGGTTATAGTGAATGGTCAGTTATAAGTATTTTCATTTGGACGTCATGATGTTATAGTGAATGGTCAGTTATAAAGCTGTTAGTCATTTCTAATCATACCCCTTTTATCATAGTTACTAAAGTGTTTCAATGTCCAACTGTTTGTTCTCCATTTTCATATCATCATCACTGAGAGGAAACGTATTTGTGGCAAAACTGATAGATTGCTGTGGGAAACTAATTCAAAACCAGAAAACCAGTTACAGTTGAAGTTTGCAACGTAGTACTTCTTTGACCAAACAGTTATTGGTTTTAGTGCATACTGAACTGTAACAAATACATATTATCGCAAACAGTGTCTATAGTGGACTGAACAGAAGGAATTAGAAATCAAATGTTTTCTTAAATACCTGTTAAAAGATAACATTTACGAACTAGGTTAAAATCTTTACTTCAATTCAATTTTTGATACTTATAGAGAGAGGTTTCAAGACCTCTGCGATGGAAAAATCAAGGTTCCAGGTTTGACAATGATGAGGGACATTTCTTATAAAGATCATTATACCAATGAGCATGTGGTGAATAAAATCCAGGACCTGTTTCTAGATGAAGTGCTGTTTGATTACTGTAGACTTCCAGAGGTGAGATTATTCAAATTGTAAAGGTAATTATTAAAATATTAAATTTCCTAGTGATCTCTTAATCATCACAAAAGTTGTAGCTGCTTAAATATGAAGAACATTTGATACTTATGAAAATATGTTTAAACATTGAAAACAATCGATAATTGAGAAAATATGTTGGTAGAAGTATTATTTACGTATAGATAAGTACTTTTGATAAATACCTAAAGGTTTAAATGTCTTATTTTATCTTGTTTTGAGTTATGCGTGTGAATAAGTAAACAAAAATGTTTCATTATCTCCGGTTTAATGTAATGAGATGCTGTAGTTACCTTATGTTGATGTAACATAATATATTGATCAGTAGTGTGTGTTACATTATATTACAATAAGATGCTGTTGTGGTTTTTCTTAGTGGAAACCTGTAAGGGCCAGTAAAGAAAGGTTTGTAAAAAAATATTGTCGGTCTTATTGTGATGTAGCATTACGTAGATGCTATTATCTGATAACAGCAAACTGGAGTTGCCAAAACAGGTAACTGTTGGTTCGTCTAGGCTAAACTAAACTATTGAAAAATACACTCGACGCTAGCTCACATCATTCAAATGTTTATCAAGGTTTCCATCAAACTTCCTTAAATTTACTACTACTCACACATCTGAAAGAAACATTCCAAAAACCAACAGTAAAACATCAAACCTAAATGAGCAATTATCATATTCATTCAGATGTTCCACCCTTACAATGATTTCTATATTAGAAGTTAACAATAAATCAAAAATATCATCGTTCTGAGTAGGTTCCTTAACCAGTTGATGAAGTAAACCATATTGAAGAGTTTCTAAAACCCTCATCTAAAACCCCTCTCCCTCTTTAACATTCTCTTATTAACTGTGGAAATCTAAATTTTACTGTAGAAGTTTTCATTAACATCTGTAGTATCAACTGGTGGTCTGTAACAAATTCACACTAAAAGTCTTTTCCCTTTTATCTCCTAAGAGAAACCCAAATGGGTTCAGTCTCCGTGCTCACATTTTACATGTAATTCCACTCTCCCCCCCTCTTTACGACTCCATCTCCATTAAATAACCTATAACCCTGTATTTCAATAAAACTTCTGTCATCAAAAGTGTTTAGATTTAACCATGTTTCGGTTATTCCCATTATATCAAAATCCTCCATTCCGACCAGTGCTCTAAAGTCATCTGTTTTATTTTCTAACATTACAATAGTAACAATTAAGCCTATCCTTATAACTACTTCTATACTCATTTCTTACATTATACTTTTCTTAATTTGTCTGCAATTAATTTATTCTGGCCCCTCATCGCTGTCTACTCCCACTTTAAAGCTGTCCTTAAAACCGACCTTAATAGCCTTAAAAAGGTTTTGTTAATAAATCGTGATCCTTTTAATTCATGGGTATAACATTTGTCTTTTCTTTTTTTTCTGATTATAATATTGATTATTCTTGTCTTTACAATCAGGTTCTAGATTATGTTGAATGTTTCACTGGCCCAAACATCATGGCCATGCATACCATGTTAATAAACAAGCCCCCTGATTCTGGTAGGTTTTAATCATATATATATAATCTATTGTTAATTTATAAAGGAGAATAGGGATCGTCAAAAGAGTAAAGAAACAAGATGAATCAAAATGCAAGGATTATATTTTCAAGCCTACATCTAGGGACTTTCTCTAAAAAAAGCAATCAAACAAGGCTGTAAATAGTGTATACATCATTTTCTCAAGCTACAAGTTCGTATTTTGACTCCATGTCTACAGCACTTATCAATTTTAATAATGTTTAAACAATGTTTCGACAAGGTTGTGGACCTGATGACGACAAAACCTTGTCAAAACATTGTACATTTGCTGTTATGTTAAACTTGTATTAAAGTTTTTTCTTCATTACCCGTTTAAGCCGTCTCCAAGCATTATTAGTTTCAAAATGGGTTCCTCGTCATCGAATTTTAATAATGTCAGAATAGGGACTTGTAGCTTGAGAAAATAATGTAGATTCAACTTGTTTCTGTACTTTTTTGATGATCCCTATTCCCCCTTTTTAAATTAACAATTTTTAATTACAGTATCTTGTATAATTTAGTTGTCTCTCTTGGCTCTGTTTTAACTCACGTGAATGTGTTTTACATTTTCTTTTCATTAACGTAATCTATTTTTGGTTTTAGCTACATTTTTCATTCCAGTTACCAATCGCATTTGAATTATGTTTTATAGATATGTTTAATTACGACTTTCTCGGCCACCTTCTTCATAAAAAACTCACACAACAGCCAGGAAATCCAACAGCCAACATGGATTTCAGATTGCTCAGTACACTGCAATCTACAAAAGTTAAAAAAATTATCTATTGAGACTTTTTGTTTTAACAATTGGATCGTACAGATATTAAAATCCAAGTGTAATGCATGTGTGTTTAAGAAAATGTGACAAGTATATAGACAATTAAACTAAAAATATGCAACAATTAGGTTAAATAAAAGATATTTTTAAGATGTTGTGGGGACAGAATTTTAAATAATTAAACTAAAATAAAACATTAGACAGATTAAACATGTTTATTAAACTAATAGAATGATTTAATTAAATTAAACATATGTTTATTAAACTAATAGAATGATTTAATTAAATAAAACATGTTTATTAAACTAATAGAATGATTTAATTAAATTAAACATGTTTATTAAATGAAGAGAATGATTTAACTAGATTAAACACATGTTTATTAAACTAATAGAATGATTTAATTAAATTAAACATGTTTATTAAATGAAGAGAATGATTTAACTGGATTAAACACATGTTTATTAAACGAAGAGAATGATTTAATTAAATAAAACACATTTATTAAACTAATATAATGATTTAATTAAATTAAACGTGTTTATTAAACGAAAAGAATGATTTAACTAGATTAAACACATGTTTATTAAACTAATAGAATGATTTAACTAGATTAAACACATGTTTATTAAATGAAGAGAATGATTTAACTAGATTAAACACATGTTTATTAAACTAATAGAATGATTTAATTACATTAAACACGTTTATTAAACTAAGCTACATATGTGCATATGCATTAAGTTGAATGTTACATGTTTTTCAACAGTTTACTGCTGCATTGGCTTATTTTACTACTCAACCATTATTTACTGTGCCTGAGATTTCATGTAAACACACATTTAAATTGCATCGAGTACAAAGGAAGCTACTCACAATAACATCACATATATTATGTATTTATAGCCTCGTAAATCAACTTTTTAAATAGGTCATGGACATTTGCAGTGTTTCATATAGTATGTCTGTCTAGGTTTTGGTGCAAAATACCCAGCTGATTTTGCTGTAGGCTTGTGAAACAAACATATCAATAATAATAACAAAATACACACTCATAATTTCAGTGAAGTACAAAAATCAACAAAAGAAATCACCACTCACTACTAATGTAATTGTTTACTGTTAGAAAACTCACTGAAATAGTCACAGAAAATCACGTAGAGACAAAGTACAACAGTGAACTCAAAAAACAATGAAGACCAGTGAACTTGTGATGAATCCTTAACATGGCAGTTTCTAATTAATGTGCTATAAGTTGTACAAATTATTTTTCAATTTATAAAATTAATTAGTTAACACATTAATAAAACACCAGATTTCTTCAATGGCGGAAAGTGAAGGAATTAGAGAAATTCTCCATGGCAAAAAAAAATGAAGGTGCTTAAATTAATTTTAAAACTGCCCTCTGACATACTCAATACTGCATTCATTACTATTGTCCAGATTTCAGTTAAATATTCATAGCTGTTTTTTCTGTAGTGACTTGTAAAACCGTAATCAACAATAATAAGGCTGTTATAAAAATATACACATTGTTTACTGTAATATAAGAAGCATTTCTGACTAGCATAATGGTGCTTAAATGTCTTCAAAGAGCTTATGTTGATAGTGAAGAAGAACTTAGAAAATTTTGAGAGTGGAAATCTCAACTTTCAAGAATAAACTTAAAAATAGCCTACAACCTTTGCAGGAATTTATTTAGTAGATGTGCATAGATTTTGGTGCAGTATAGCTAGCCATTTTTGCAAGATGATAAAAACCCTATAACCCGAGCAGTTTCAAAAGATGGACTTGTTCAGGGACAAACTGCAGGCCAAGGTGCTTGAATGTCTTTGAAGAGAAACTTGGCCAGTAGTGATGAAAATAGTTCTATGACCTCTACTGCAGTTTTTAGTAGGTTTGTTATTTTCTCTGTAGGCTTGTCAAACAAGAATAATATGAATAATAATAATATGAAGAACAAATGGAGGAATTTTAAATTTTGTCTAACAATCAGAAAAATCAACTTTTTTGCTATTATCAATATTTTTGCAGCCTTCATCATTGCGATATAAGATTTTGAGTGTTGTTTCAAAAACAAGTCTGCTTTTTAAGATGGTTTTTGCCTATATGTTCTATTAGAATTTTTGTGAAATTCCTGGGCGATCCCTATTATGAACCACTAACATGGTTCTCTGTAAATTGAACTCAATTGACTGATGATCTTCACAACCAAACTGTTACTATCATATATATATGTTGAACTCAGTTGACTGATTATCTACACAATCAGAATGTTCCAACATGAAACCTTACCTCCAATTTCATAATAGCCTTCCCAATTCAGTGCTGCCCTCTATATGCAAAATTTTCCTCACCACTAGTCTTGAAACTCCCACCTAAGATCACGTTTCTGTGTGCTATTGTATGGAAACGAACATGCACCAGCTTTCCACCAATAGGGAAACCCATCGAGAGGGCAGGGAAATAATCCCCAGGGACTAGAAAAGTGGAGGAGGTAAAAAAAAAGAGTAAAGTAATTGATTAAATAAAAGGAGATACAATATAATTAATAAGTCTAAATCTTATAAAGATTATCATTCGTTGCTGACAGTTAAAACATGAGATGCCACAACCAACATCAGTCAGAAGACAAAGGTGCAGTGTATGAGATATAACTATGACTACCGCTCTACGTTATTACAATATTATGTCATTCAATTCACCCCATACACTACCTCCCCCAAACTGGTAGATACACTGTAATTATTAAAAGTTGTCTATGAGGAATTTTGATGTTGTAGCCCCCAAATTGTGAGATTTTTCAACACATTTTTGATAATTTTTTGTGTGTGTAACCCAATTGAAGTGTTAGCCGAGGTTTCGACTTGAATACCACCATCCATTGCAGCTCCAAGTAAAGTAGTCCAACCCACGTCATCAACCTTCCCTTTGATCAATAGTAACATAGAATATTAGGGCAAATCATTATATTATAAAATAAATGTGACAGTTGTCCAATTTAAAGTTTTGTGTCATTATGAAGTGCATTTAAAGTGGACTTCCTCTTCATTGGTAGGTTTCCCATATAAAATAGCCAGGATTGTATGGTTTATTATATATGAAACAATACGCATAGTAAGAAATATATATATATATAGAGAGAGAGAGAGAGATACATATATTCATACCTATACTGTTTTCTTTTTTTTCTATTAAGCTAATTTTAATTTTTTTTTTTTGCCACAAGAAGATTAAAAATGCTTGAATCTTAGTTATATTTATTACTAACGTTCACTTGCAAAATTTATGACCAGTGTTTCTATATTTAAACCTAGAATTTAATTTTCCATTTCAATATATTTTGATGATTTAAAGATGTGAAAAATATTTTTATTTTCAGCTTAAAATCCAATTGAGAAATGTCTCGACAATATAAGCATAAATGTGATGCTCAAAAGATGAAATTCAAACAGCAGAAAGATTATGTAGAGGAAGGTTAACTCTCTGCGTTGTTGGTTTTTGAAAAGAAAAGTGAATATCAGCACAAAGCTTTCCATTCAGGTTCTGATGTGACCCATGGAGCAAGTGCTGTTACTTCAAATAAATCAGCTGAACATGATGAAATGTCTGATGAAAATGAATGACAGTCTCACAGCATATCCTGTTACAGCCTATCTACAGCCACATGTAATCACTACTGGAGGAACACTTTTAAAAAAGTTCCTAAAAATCCACAGCAGCTCAGTGGTTTTGATGATGGTACCTTAACTGAAGAGAGTGTATTAGCTGAAAACCTAGAGAACCGGACTTCTACAACACTGGACTGTTAGAACTGGACTTCTACAACACTGGACTGTTAGAACTGGACTTCTACAACACTGGACTGTTAGAGCTGGACTTCTACAACACCCTAAAGATTTTCTTTTTACAATTTCTCTTCCAAAGGCGTTCCTGCAAAATGTTGAATACAGTAAACATGACTGGCTAGGTTGAAGTAATATCTGGCAAGCTTTATACTGTTTTCCATGCAACTTCTTGCCAAGACTCCAGTTTTATCACACTGTACAATTAGAACTGCTAACAGCAGGCTGGAAGAAACTTTATTATAGGCTACCTGAGCATAAGAAAAGTGTTTGTCATTAGAAATGCTATACTAAGTGGCATGAGCTTGAGAGACATTTTGAAGCGAACTCTAGTGTTGATTTACAGCTTGAGAAGCATATTCTTTAAAGAGTGCCAAATGGAAGGATATCCTAAAGTGGATTATAGATGTTGTCATATATATATATATATATATATTCTACAGAAAATTATAGATGTTATCATTTTCTTGGGGGAGAGAGGTTTAGCCTTTCATGGATCATCACAAAGTATTGGTGCACCTGATAATGTTAATTTTTTAGGTATAATTCCTGGGGGATAGAGGTTTAGCCTTTCATGGATCATCACAAAGTATTGGTGCACCTGATAATGTTAATTTTTTAGGAATAATTCAGCTTCTCAGTCATTATGATCTAGTTCTAAGGAAGCGTGAAAAGAGAATCTCAGTGAGCAGGTTACTATCTTCAAGCCCACTACTTGTCAAGTGAGTCCCTGAATGAATTGATAGCGACTTGTACGTCACTTTAATTTATAGGAAAGACTTACAGCAAAATACCTTGCTACCATAGTAGATGCAACGTCTGATTCATCTCATCAAGAACAGACGACTTTTATCATGAGCTATGTATTTGTGTCATCAGAATATTTTTCCTTTGTCATTCAAGAAAGGTTTCTAACATTTAATGATTGCAATATGAGTCCGAGGCTGATATTTTAAATCTAATACTTGGTTGCTTAGCTGATCATGAAATATCAGTAATGGATTGCAGAGTTCAAGGATATGACAATGCGTCCAACATGGCTGATGAGTATAATTGTGCTCAACCTCTATTACTAAAAGTTAATCCCCTGGCTAAATTCTTACCATGTGCTTGTCATAGTCTCAATCTGTGTGGATCTCGAATGGCAGACATTCTTTGGAATAGTTCATAAGCTTTACAGTCTATTTAGTTTAGTTGTGGTTCACAGTGATGGAGCATTGTTATCAAGAATGTATGCTTCCCTTTTCATGGATATTCGGGAACACTACGGATGGACAGAGTGGATAGTGTTAGGCTTTTCGCAGCTCATTTTCTTGGGACTTTGGATGTTCAATCAGAAGTTCTTCAATCAATCTTGCATCTCAAACAAGATGTATAACTGCCTGTTGCCAGTCATTTTCTTGCATCTTGTTGGCTGGAATCTGGTTAAAGGTTTTTGTGATCATTGATTAGCACAATCAAGTATTGCAGGCCCACAAAGCTACCACTGATACTGAAGTAAGCAAAACTGAAAGTCTGTTGACTGATTTAAAAACACTGCTTGAACATTGGTGCTCAATTCTTAATAAAGCTAAATTCTTTGCAAGTAATATGAATCTTCTGCCACAACTGCCTGCCAAATGGAAAACAGTTCCCAAGTATTTTCATTATGAAAATAAAGATTTAATTGATTGTGAAGAAAATGAACCTGTAGAGGAGCGTAGATTCTGTTAATTTATATTAAAAACTCATTTTATTTTTTGTGGCAATATCTAGATATATCAGAGAATGATCTGCATTCCAAAACTAGGGAGTTTCTTGCCAAGTGTAGCTTTGATGTGTCAGAAGACTTAGTGGAAGAAATGAAACATCTAAAGGCCATCCACAATGCTAACTTTGGTGATACTGCATTAAATCCTTTAGATCTTCTAAAAAACTCAAGCTACATCCACTTTTCCCAAACGTTTTGCTAGCCCTTCACATTTTCTGCATAATTCCAGTCAGAACTGAAGAAGGAGAGAGATATTTTAGCAAGCTAAGAATGATAAAAAAAATTATCTGCACTCCACCATTACTCAAGACGGACTGACAGATCTGAGAACCCTTGTAATTAAAAACCAGTTAGCCCGAACTTTGGACTTCGGAATAATTATTGATCATCTTGCCAGATAGAAGGCAAAGAAATTCCACTTCTAACAATGAAAATCATGCATTAAAGAATTGTCTGGCCTAATGATGATAAACCCACTTATGTATTATAATAGAAGAATACTAGCGCAATTAAGTGTTGTTTTGATACGTATATTCACCGTATTAAACAAACATGAAACTCATTGTATGAGCATCTCTTTCTCTTTATTAATTTTATTCATTTATTTAATAAAATTCTTTAATTAGTGACTTTTTTTTTTATTTCCTTTTAGACAGCATTTGTCAGTTGTATGGTGATAGAATTAATCATTGATTCCTTAAAACATTTTAGTCCATCTTCATCTGAGTAGTTTGTTGAAATGTTATTAATAGTGACTTGGACACATACAATTTACTTGTTATGTATACAATGAATAAGAAACTTACATAGACTACTGATTAAACATTTTTGGTGTTATAAAATAAATGCCTTTCTTACTCAAGTGCCTTGTCTCTTTTTTATCTGATACCTTTGTCTGACTCTTTTCTTCTGCCATTGTGATTTTACTGGAGTGCTTGTTTCTCTGGAGTCACGTGTTGGGGCCACATGCCTTATCCTCACTGGTTTCCCATCTCTCCCATCCATCCTCTCCCCTCCCTGTTTCCACTTCTTGTTCCTCTCCTTCCATCTGTCCTTCCAGTACTTCTAGACTTCAGTACTGTCAGTCTTGGCTCAAGGATAGTAAGGCCTGTTTAGTTCAGTTTGAAGACCTCTACTCTCAGTTCATGGCTTATTGTTGGGTACTAGGAATTCTGTCAGAGAGCCTTACCCTTTGTTCTTGCTTCCTCTCCTTCTCCACTGTCTCCTTTATTTCCATTAATTTTCTCCTCCAAGGGATCTTGGTTTCTTACCAACATTTGTCTATGGCAGTGTTGGACCTAATGGCTAAAGACACTATTAAATGGGTTTATCATCCATCTGCAGGATTTTATCCCTATCTTTTTGTGATTCCCAAGAAATCAGAGGATTGACATCTGGTCATAGATATTTCAAGTCTCGGTCATTTCTCACTTACAGTGGTTTTTGCTCCAGGTCTTTGGGTGACTGAGGTGGATATCTCAGATGCTTATTTTCACATTTGGCTCCATCCAGTCATCCTATTCTCTTCCTTCAGGAGGTGATGCATCTGGGTTAGTTGGTACTCCTGGAGAAGTTGCATCTCACGCCCATTCAGTATCTCCTTCCTTTGTGTGTTTCTCAATTTGCATCTCCACAGGGCTGAGCCTTCTTCTCCTTTTTTGAGGGACATGGATCATATAGTTTTCCATGTAATATCTTTTCCTCCTCTCACTGTGCAAGTGGTTCTTTCTCTTTTGGGGACTTGGGCTTTCATGGAATCCCTTATCACCTCTGGTTGTCTACAATGGACTTTGCACAATTGATGGAACTTCATCATAACTTGTCCTCCACCATCCTCCTTCCTTCTCACAGACTTCATCTGGTGACTCAACAAAACCAGTACCACAGAAGGAGTTTCTCTGGAGGTATCTTGAGCAGGAATCATTTTCTTATGATATTTCATGGATGTTATGAGCCATACCGACAACCCTACAGTTGTCTCCCATATCAATTGCCAAAGGAAATTTGGTCTCACTATCTCTGTTTTGACACTCACAATCTTCTTTTCTGGTCCCATGCTTGTACGACTTATGACTTGTCCTATTCCAGGTGCCTTGAATCTTGTTGCTGATAATCTCTTGAGACTCCACAAGATATTACGTATGGAGTGGTCTATCGATCCTATGGTGTTCAAGTGACAGGGCACCCCTTTTATAGATGTATATTCCACACCAAGATGCAGATTTTACACACCACACATTAAAAATGTATTG